AATACCAACAATTCACAGTGCACCGTAATGTCGAGCCACCTAGCATGGTGGCCACATTGCAAACATGACTGATAGAATTCAGTCTGCACCGAAAATAGGACTAGACACATTACACTAGTTACTGACTAGTGTGCAATCAAAAATATCCAATACAGTCCTACAGGAGGTCAGTCGCGAGCCTGAATAGCTCAGTGGTAACGTCTCTGACTGCAGCACTGGGTGACGCGGGTTCGAATCTCACAAGGGACATCAGTTCCTTCAAGGTTGCAGATACGCCTTGCTGATGAGTGCCAACTAGCACGAAACCTAGGTCCAAGGCTTCCTGCCGATTGCCCCCAACCATCTAATACCAACAATTCACAGTGCACCGTAATGTCGAGCCACCTAGCATGGTGGCCACATTGCAAACATGACTGATAGAATTCAGTCTGCACCGAAAATAGGACTAGACACATTACACTAGTTACTGACTAGTGTGCAATCAAAAATATCCAATACAGTCCTACAGGAGGTCAGTCGCGAGCCTGAATAGCTCAGTGGTAACGTCTCTGACTGCAGCACTGGGTGACGCGGGTTCGAATCTCACAAGGGACATCAGTTCCTTCAAGGTTGCAGATACGCCTTGCTGATGAGTGCCAACTAGCACGAAACCTAGGTCCAAGGCTTCCTGCCGATTGCCCCCAACCATCTAATACCAACAATTCACAGTGCACCGTAATGTCGAGCCACCTAGCATGGTGGCCACATTGCAAACATGACTGATAGAATTCAGTCTGCACCGAAAATAGGACTAGACACATTACACTAGTTACTGACTAGTGTGCAATCAAAAATATCCAATACAGTCCTACAGGAGGTCAGTCGCGAGCCTGAATAGCTCAGTGGTAACGTCTCTGACTGCAGCACTGGGTGACGCGGGTTCGAATCTCACAAGGGACATCAGTTCCTTCAAGGTTGCAGATACGCCTTGCTGATGAGTGCCAACTAGCACGAAACCTAGGTCCAAGGCTTCCTGCCGATTGCCCCCAACCATCTAATACCAACAATTCACAGTGCACCGTAATGTCGAGCCACCTAGCATGGTGGCCACATTGCAAACATGACTGATAGAATTCAGTCTGCACCGAAAATAGGACTAGACACATTACACTAGTTACTGACTAGTGTGCAATCAAAAATATCCAATACAGTCCTACAGGAGGTCAGTCGCGAGCCTGAATAGCTCAGTGGTAACGTCTCTGACTGCAGCACTGGGTGACGCGGGTTCGAATCTCACAAGGGACATCAGTTCCTTCAAGGTTGCAGATACGCCTTGCTGATGAGTGCCAACTAGCACGAAACCTAGGTCCAAGGCTTCCTGCCGATTGCCCCCAACCATCTAATACCAACAATTCACAGTGCACCGTAATGTCGAGCCACCTAGCATGGTGGCCACATTGCAAACATGACTGATAGAATTCAGTCTGCACCGAAAATAGGACTAGACACATTACACTAGTTACTGACTAGTGTGCAATCAAAAATATCCAATACAGTCCTACAGGAGGTCAGTCGCGAGCCTGAATAGCTCAGTGGTAACGTCTCTGACTGCAGCACTGGGTGACGCGGGTTCGAATCTCACAAGGGACATCAGTTCCTTCAAGGTTGCAGATACGCCTTGCTGATGAGTGCCAACTAGCACGAAACCTAGGTCCAAGGCTTCCTGCCGATTGCCCCCAACCATCTAATACCAACAATTCACAGTGCACCGTAATGTCGAGCCACCTAGCATGGTGGCCACATTGCAAACATGACTGATAGAATTCAGTCTGCACCGAAAATAGGACTAGACACATTACACTAGTTACTGACTAGTGTGCAATCAAAAATATCCAATACAGTCCTACAGGAGGTCAGTCGCGAGCCTGAATAGCTCAGTGGTAACGTCTCTGACTGCAGCACTGGGTGACGCGGGTTCGAATCTCACAAGGGACATCAGTTCCTTCAAGGTTGCAGATACGCCTTGCTGATGAGTGCCAACTAGCACGAAACCTAGGTCCAAGGCTTCCTGCCGATTGCCCCCAACCATCTAATACCAACAATTCACAGTGCACCGTAATGTCGAGCCACCTAGCATGGTGGCCACATTGCAAACATGACTGATAGAATTCAGTCTGCACCGAAAATAGGACTAGACACATTACACTAGTTACTGACTAGTGTGCAATCAAAAATATCCAATACAGTCCTACAGGAGGTCAGTCGCGAGCCTGAATAGCTCAGTGGTAACGTCTCTGACTGCAGCACTGGGTGACGCGGGTTCGAATCTCACAAGGGACATCAGTTCCTTCAAGGTTGCAGATACGCCTTGCTGATGAGTGCCAACTAGCACGAAACCTAGGTCCAAGGCTTCCTGCCGATTGCCCCCAACCATCTAATACCAACAATTCACAGTGCACCGTAATGTCGAGCCACCTAGCATGGTGGCCACATTGCAAACATGACTGATAGAATTCAGTCTGCACCGAAAATAGGACTAGACACATTACACTAGTTACTGACTAGTGTGCAATCAAAAATATCCAATACAGTCCTACAGGAGGTCAGTCGCGAGCCTGAATAGCTCAGTGGTAACGTCTCTGACTGCAGCACTGGGTGACGCGGGTTCGAATCTCACAAGGGACATCAGTTCCTTCAAGGTTGCAGATACGCCTTGCTGATGAGTGCCAACTAGCACGAAACCTAGGTCCAAGGCTTCCTGCCGATTGCCTTCAACCATCTAATACCAACAATTCACAGTGCACCGTGATGGCGAGCCACCTAGCATGGTGGCCACATTGCAAACTTGACTGATAGAATTCAGTCTGCACCAAAAATAGGACTAGACACATTACACTAGTTACTGACTAGTGTCCAATCAAAAATATCCAATACAGTCCTACAGGAGGTCAATCACGAGCCTGAATAGCTCAGTGGTAACGTCTCTGACTGCAGCACTGGGTGACGCGGGTTCGAATCTCACAAGGGACATGAGTTCCTTCAAGGTTGCAGATACGCCTTGCTGATGAGTGCCAACTAGCACGAAACCTAGGTCCAAGGCTTCCTGCCGATTGCCCCCAACCATCTAATACCAACAATTCACAGTGCACCGTAATGTCGAGCCACCTAGCATGGTGGCCACATTGCAAACATGACTGATAGAATTCAGTCTGCACCGAAAATAGGACTAGACACATTACACTAGTTACTGACTAGTGTGCAATCAAAAATATCCAATACAGTCCTACAGGAGGTCAGTCGCGAGCCTGAATAGCTCAGTGGTAACGTCTCTGACTGCAGCACTGGGTGACGCGGGTTCGAATCTCACAAGGGACATCAGTTCCTTCAAGGTTGCAGATACGCCTTGCTGATGAGTGCCAACTAGCACGAAACCTAGGTCCAAGGCTTCCTGCCGATTGCCCCCAACCATCTAATACCAACAATTCACAGTGCACCGTAATGTCGAGCCACCTAGCATGGTGGCCACATTGCAAACATGACTGATAGAATTCAGTCTGCACCGAAAATAGGACTAGACACATTACACTAGTTACTGACTAGTGTGCAATCAAAAATATCCAATACAGTCCTACAGGAGGTCAGTCGCGAGCCTGAATAGCTCAGTGGTAACGTCTCTGACTGCAGCACTGGGTGACGCGGGTTCGAATCTCACAAGGGACATCAGTTCCTTCAAGGTTGCAGATACGCCTTGCTGATGAGTGCCAACTAGCACGAAACCTAGGTCCAAGGCTTCCTGCCGATTGCCCCCAACCATCTAATACCAACAATTCACAGTGCACCGTAATGTCGAGCCACCTAGCATGGTGGCCACATTGCAAACATGACTGATAGAATTCAGTCTGCACCGAAAATAGGACTAGACACATTACACTAGTTACTGACTAGTGTGCAATCAAAAATATACATTTATTTTATTTCGTCCAAAATAAGGAAAATGGCTGTATAAATTTCTTCAGAACGTATCGGTTTATTTTCTTCAAGTGTACTCCGTAGGCCTCAGCTATGTGTACAATACGAAGTTTTAAAGCAAAATTAAGATGATATGTTCCCAGACTTCAGATGTTACGAATTCCCGGGAATAATTTCAGCTCCGAACCATGTTGAATCATTATAAATTATTTAAAATAATCTCAGCGTATTTAGGAAAAACTCGCATCAGGATTTTTCTGGACGTTTCACTGTGTAAGTCACAGCTTCTTCTTCTTCTTCAGCAGAATTATTCGGATTTTATTAACCAACATCAAAATATATTTTGATTTTAATGCTGAAGAAAAGGCTGTGGCTTACACAGCGAAACGTTCAGAAAAATCTTGTTTTGATTTTTTTTTCTTAAACACTCTGAGGTTGTATTAGATAATTTATAATGACAAAATTAAGATTAGTTAGAATATGATAGATAACTTTAAATGCTGTATTAATGTCAACCTTATGCTCACTGTCTACAAGGTGTGCTACAATAGAGCTACGAATAGATCTCGCTTTTGTCCCTTGCTTAACCATGCCGGTCGATATTTGGAAATCTGCTAATGAACATGTTTAATTGGACGCAAAATGTAACTGGCTCTACAGGAACAGACAAGCGATAAATATTCAGAGAAAAATTATACATAAAAATTTTAATCAATGACGGAGATTTTGTGGAACAAATAATAATAATGTGGTAAATGTTTTGAACGTCAGTAATAAGGATGATTGTAATGATAGTGAGGTTTATGCAGGTGGTGATAAGAATAACAAAGGTAGTAATATGTGTGTATGTAGACAATTCAATAAATAAATATATAAATTAGGTCAAATCTTTCCATATTAGTTTGTTGATTAGATGTATCACACAGTGAAAGAGTATTATTATGTAATGGATGACGTTTCGAACAAAATTTATTGTTCATAATCATATCAACTATAATCACACGACTTACATCATAAGAATCGATTTATAATACAAAGCAATGCCTACTTACTGTATTACCATTTTCTTGTCCAAATATTGATTTACTGTCAGTTTTCATCTCCATACCCATCATTTTCATCATTTTCTTTTCTTTATTTAAACCTTGTTCAATCCACATTAATGCATCACGAAAGCCTATTGAATAAAATCGATTTGTCAAAACAACATAATATCTTTGTCCTTGTTCATACCATTCATCTATCATAACACCATCATCGACACGACGCAGACGTAATTCAAAGCCATTATCATTCATCATCATCATTTTATCTTGATGCTGAAGTAGTTCTTGTTCAACGGATGGTGAAGATGTTGACGCTGATGACGATGGCATTAAGGCTTTCATCATCATTGTCATTCCATTTCGATGTATGCCTATACGACTTTGCAAATTCACTGTAAGAGTTGTACATAATTCTGGTAACTGTACACATTGAAGGCTATTCAAGAAGTTGTACACTAGAAGGTGAATGTAGATCGTGAATTTTAGATAAAGTAGCATTGTTTGTGTATTATAACATGCGAATAACGATTTATGTTTCTTCAATTATATACTGAACATTAGAAATATACTAACATTTATTTGTATATATACATGTCACAGATGAATGTATTTAGGAATTCATGTGGGTGTAGATGAACCGGTAAATCCAAACCAAAAAAAAGAGAAATCAATAGATGCACAGATGCCTATACAATTCTGTGTTTTGGTACTTTTCCTAATGGTCAGATGATCAAGGTCATTAGCTATTATTAGAGACCTCTGATTGGTTGAAATTAGCACATTTGTTTTGTTATTTTTGGTGTGTAGTAATATGGGGAAAATAACGTCGCACACACATACACACACGTATACACAGACACACACACACAAGTCTGTGATGTGTAATTGCATCATTTTAGACAGATACCTTCTATTTTTATACTTCTAATCTTTTCTCCAAATCGAGTGAGGATATAAGCAACTGCTAGGTATTTTCGCGCATAGTAGGGCAAACTTTGTGTTAGATAAAAAGTTGGCAAAACGCCTTTAAAATAAATCGAACATAAGGAAATTCAAATCGTCATTAGCCCGCCTCCATTCTGCTTATTCAATGAAGCGTAATTAGACTGAAGTGTGGCAAGTTGGCTTTGTGGTAACTAATATCCTCACTCATCCTATGGCTTATCTCTCCTCATTGGTACTTTGTTGTCGTTAGTTGAGTTGATTCAGTTCATCGAGTGTTAGTTACTATTTAAATTAGGAATCAGTAGTGTTAAAGTACTTGACTAATTTCGTTTGTCTCTCCTTTTCCCAGTTCGCCAGCTTCTGTTTGTTTGTGTAGAGAAGCCAAATAAGGTAGCTTCCTCAGAACAGTGCATGAAACAGACGGAATTCCCCCTGAATCACTGGAAACAGACTCATAGATCTGAGGGAATATTCTGAAGCAAAATGTTTTGGAGGAAGGAAAGGTACCTACTGATTAGAAGAAAGACTGGCTACCTTGTCAAACAACCGAAGTAGGGCGACTGACGATTCTGCAAGAACTGGCGTAAAGTCATGCTGTTGTTCACTCCAAATGAAATACTAAATCACGTCATCCTGAAGAAAAGAAAATACTCACTGGATGCAGAACTCCGCCAGCATGCCGAAACAAGCTGGATTCAGGAGAGGCGAATCGTGTACTGATCAAATTGCAACTCTACGCATCATCATCACAGAACAAAGCATAGAATGGCAGTCAAACCTGTACATCAACCACTTCATCGACTTGGAAAATGCCTTCGACAGATAGTGTTAACCGAGAAGAAATTCGGAAAGTGCTTCAACGCTATAGTGTGCGATGCCCTAAATCTGTATCAACTTCACTCACCACCTATATGACAACGGCACGTGGATCCACAACGGAAAACTCAGCGAGGCGTTCGAAGTGAATACAAGAGTAAGATTAGGTTGTCTGCCTATTATCACCCATGATATTCTTAATTGTAGTGGACTGGATTATGAGTCAGATTGTGCTTTGGAAGTGAGAAGACAGGAATACTATAGACCGATACGAAAAGTCAAGAAGATTTGGACTTCGCAAATGATTTATGTTTGATCACACACACACACACACACAAACTCGAAGACTTGCAGGCAGGCAGCGAAGACACTCGGTCATTATCATCTGTCAGTGAGATCATATCAGTTTACGACAGGATAATAACAATAAAGAAGGTATTTTACTTCTACTTAGCTGACATTTTTTCCACTCCCACCCTCTCGTTTTTAACGTTCCATCACATTATGTATAAGTTAATTCTGTTAGATTATTAACTATTTTGTATTGATATTGTGCTACTGATAAGATTTATCAGTAGTATAAATGTAAAGAGGTGTTCATCGGTATAAAACATCAAATTTCAGGGCGACAGATTTGATATCAGAGCAAGCAAATGATGCATCATTTCGGAAACACATACGAAATGTGAAACGAAGACAGAGAAATACAATATGAAGTCGAGAAGTAGCACAACACGGAAGATTTGTGCAAATGGTGATTTGAAGAGATAAGGTGTATATAATTTCACTAGACAGCGATATGGGATTCCTTATAAACACTCCTTTACCAAGTCTTTCGTCTTCTACTGTTACAGTATGCCTTGTTCCATCACTAAGGCACTGGGACCCACCTATCTAATGGCCAGTTCATGAATTCTTGCTAGCCTTGTAGTCAGAAGGTCCTAGGTTCGAAACCCGTTGGATGGGTACTGCTGAAGAGTCCCAGACTAGGTTGACGAAACAACTGTTCAGTATTCCTAGGTTTTCCAATGGTTCTCTAACTGATGTCAGCTCATGATGAAATGCTCTAACTAATATATAATACCTAATTATGCACTTAGAAATTGATTTTTCAAACTTGTTTTTTGTCTTTATTTTCTAAATCTCAACCTTTTAGGCATGACTCCAACAAGCTGTCAACCACGTTTAGGTTATGAATGCGCTAAATTAATGTCAAATCATTATCCAGAACGTTTAGGCTTAGCGTTATGTATACGTCCAGGACCAGCATTCAAAGTAGCCTGGCAAGCAATTAAACCATTTCTACCACAAACAACTGTATCAAAAGTATGCCTTATTAAAAATAAATCACAAATGTATTCAACATTTGAACAATATTTTTCACCAGAAATGTGTAAATGGTTGCTAGACGAGGTAAATTTCAATCGAAGCATTCAGTCGACTAGTAAATATCGGCCATTTTGGTTACCACCAAAAGATACTGCTAAAGATAAACATGATCCACGAGGGGATGAAATTTATACACGTGATTGGCTTGTATTAAATCATCCATCAGGACACTTGCCACATCCGAATATTGTTGATTATATGCTTGGTGGTTTAAATGCTAATAGTTATGAAGTGAAATTACCCGCCAATGAACATGGTGAATCAATAGATACTGAATTCTCTGGTGATTTCGACGATGCTGATGAGGATGATGCTAATCAAGAGGAGTTGGCTAAGAAACTTGCAGCAAAATTGCCTAAAGAATTTATGATTCCAGAAGATGCAGAAAAATTAACATGAAAATATTGTATGTACGGCATTTTTGTTCTCCACACTTACTTATGTATTCAATATTCTGTTCGGGTTCTGTTGCCGGGTTGAGGGATTATGTTTTCTTATGCACACGGGCAATTCTAATTCTCTCTCTGTCTCTCTCCTTTTTCCAATTTTAACATTTTGAAACAAATCGATACATAACGCTAAAAATAACCAAAATATGAAAAATGTGCATACTCAGGGTCAAATTAAAGGGAATTTCTGAAATATTCTAAACTTATTTTTTGTATGCAGTATTCATTTTCTGTCAATGTTAACATCTCTTTCTATTCTTTCTTCGACACTGATCAATGTGTGTGTCTATGAATAACTTTTGTAAATTCAAGGTTATTTACTGGAGGGAGTTATGAAATAATTCAAATTAAAAAGAATTGAACCTGTTAAATTTATGATATATGTGAAGATACTTCAAAAGAAAAGTGATTGGTTTTCAATAATTCATCAGTACTCTTTTGTAAAATAATATTTTGTTTTAAAAAAAAGCATTGAACATTTCACTTCACTTTAACTTCATTCAGTTTTTGCCATTTTGCCATGATAAGTTTGGCTTCTGCCAAGTTCTCTTTTCCAGCATTTCAGTATTTTAGAAAGTTGAATGTAAGACTATACTACTTATCGTTTGGCGTCAACTGACAGTGATTGGGGATGTAGTCTGTAATGATGAGTACGCGATTATAGTCTCTCTCTCGCTAAATGCTGCTTCATGATTTTGTACGACGGTTGAGATAATGCCAGAGTGGCGAGACCAAAGTAGGTGGCTATCTTAATGAACCACACATCTACTAGGCTTGAACTTCACACCTGAGGTACAAGGCAGTGAAGCGGTCCCACGAGCTGCATTCTTGGTGAATGAAACAAATTCATACACTATTCTATCACTTCGAATTATGTAGCTGATATGAAAAAAAGTTTGGAATCAGGGTTTCCAGGCTCCTGTAGGTATACCTCAGTGAAGGTCACTTTTGATTGAGTGTGGTCATCGTGAAATACCGGCCTCTGTGGCTTGGATATCTATCCTATGAAAGTCATCCCAAAGGCTGCAATATATCTCGTTGTTTACTAGCCCTGAGACTAGATGGCAAAAGTGGACAAATGTTCGGCCTATGGTGTGGCTGAGTCAGATAAACGATATTTGTATTAGGTTAGCATCCTTTGCCGCTGCACCATGACTCCCTGAGAGATAATTCGAAACAGTGATCACATACATTATAGAATTAGGCCGAATTAACAGCAAAGTAAAAACTACCGATGTTAATGAACGATGATTAAGTTGCTATAAATATAAAATGAGTGGATTTTTTAAATTCTGGTTTAATAATACTACTACTTTGATAAAGCTACTGGCAGCAGCACTAAATAGCGAAACACCAGTTAAAGCTATGATGTATTGTTTTTCATTCATTGGGAAATACAAAGAGAACTTTTGCAATAATGAATATCATATACTCAGTGCCATATTTTTCCAAACAATTAATAGTGAACTCGATTTGGATATATAAAACATTAAACGGTTTTTATTTAAATGCCCACTACAGCATAAGTTTGTTGCTGCTATATTTTGACTGAACTAGAGTACACGTATCTTCTAGTATTTCTTCGCGTTGATAATTGTGACCTAACGTTGCGATTACTCGACATCCGCAACGTAATTCAAAAGGCACTTGCGAAGGAATACGATAGTTTATTATTGCAGCAATCAAACTTCAAAAATCGAGCGAGCACAAAAGTATCAATTGTTAACATGCAAGATTTAGAGTAATAAACAAATCAAAGTACAATTACACAATGAAAGTATAGTACTATGATGAGTAATAACATGGGTCACTACAAGTTTCTTCATTTCTCTGTAGTTGATCCATCTCGACGTGTCTATGTATATTTCGGGATCATAAACGGTCACATGAGTTTCCTTCCTTCGTGAGTACTACCTATCGGTTAAAACTTCAAAGGAAACAAATTCATTGTTTGATATCCCCTGCGTTGTAGACTTGTTTCTTTTCAACCATTTTAAACACTTTTCAGAGAGTTTCTCTACTTGGTGACTATAACGACCAGTAGTAAAATATTCTGGTCTGAAGGCGAGAAATGAGTCGACGAAAGTGAGCTATTACGATCTATCCAAAATACTTAGTTTTTCTGCGTAGTATGCTAAATTTTCTTGAGTTAAACATAGTGAATGATTATGTTTCGACAAAGTCAATACGTGATTTAAAGTTATGAAATCAGTGGAAATACTCAGATAAATACCAGTAATGTAAGTAGATTTTTCATGAGAGGTTTCGGATTAGTTGTTCCGCTACACTGCTCCTGCATATATGTTAAGGCGCCTTTGAACGCATTCACTCACGGTCCAGGTGACTCACCTTTGAGATGCAGAACTTATAGAAGCACGCCTGTATGATGCCAGCTTAATTTATTATCTGTAGTTCACTACTTCAAGAAGACGGAAGCCCCCTAAAATTTTCTTTTACAACACCTTCTTTCGTACGTACCAATAGTGTTTTCACTAGGCTGTCTTTATTATTTTCACACCCTTCAAAAACTGTCATCGGTCATTCACCTTTTGCAGTTATTTCTTTAAACAATAGTACTGCATCTAATTCCATAAGGTCTCAACTCCTTGAAACGTATTTATGAAGAAACCGCAGTAAAGAGATATATTTTCTTTAAAATGTCTAGGTCAAGTATTAGCCAATCAGTTCACTTGTCCTAGTGTTTAGAATATGTATTCGGAATGGTGTCTTCTGCTGTTACGCAATCACGGTCTTCTGGAAGCAATAGAGTGTTAGATTGGACGACTAAATTCTCTTTTTCACCGTACGAGACTGGGGGATTAGGGTTTGTATTTAAAAAATCTTTCTATTTCAACAAACTACACTGTTAGGCTATCACTGTTCTAGTTCTACTCGTTAGAATTAACCGACAACAGTCTGGGAATAAAGCGCATCGTTCCCTCCCAGATCTTGCCCCAATGACTTACGAGTGGGGAAGTAAAATGTCAGTGCATTAACTGGGACGCCATAAAGTTATTTATCGTATGTTTATTTCAGACGCCAACATAACTTCAAAATTCAGAAGAAGTTCCTGTAAAACCGGACCAGCTTTCAATTTAGATTTCTACCGGTGTTCACCTCCTACCTATAAGATGCTTCAAAGCCATAAGTATTCATGCAGAAGTCTAATTCCAAATGGACATCACTCATTTAAGGATATGAAATATACATCCGTACATTTTTCCTTCCAATCTCTCATGGTGAAGAACTACAGGTCTGAAATGGACAATTCATACTAGAGATAAAGCAAAACCAACCTTTTCTCGCTCAGTAGTCTATGAAGCGTGCTATTATAGCGTACTAAATATTATTACGAATATGATACAATAGTATATCAACGTTTTCACGTTCTGCGATGTGCTGACGCTGTACACGGCCAAACACTAACAACGATGTACTAAGAAGCACAAGCGAAAGCTTGAAAAGATGTATTGTTAAAAAAATCAAATTTCAAAAAGCGCCAGGCAAAACGAAAAAGTGTACAACAGAGTAATATATATCAAGCGAAAACCAGTGTTCCCTAATACAATAGTAAATATGCCACAAGCATATGTAAAATTAGTTCCTGTAAACCTGTAATACGCAGGCATGAATTATTTCTATAAGTTTACATTTAGAGTTAATATAGGGGTGCTTCATTTTGATTTATTCTACCCTATTAGATTTTGGATGTCTGTACTTTGCGCTGGTGCTATTAACTGTTCAATGGTATTTGCGTACAGCAACTGAAGCTTGAGATATGTGTGTTTGTTCTTCTCAGTGATGGTAGTTTCGAACGATCAACTTCGTAACAAACTGATAACTACGTAAAATCATTCGATGCTTGGGAGGGACCTTATAAAACAAGTGTTCTAAAATTCTACCAACACAAAGTAAACTCAAAATCAGCCTAAAGGATACCATTATGGGTAAATCTTTATTTTGATAGAGTCTCGCAGTGTTATACAGTAATATTTACTGATGACGTTTCGAGCACAAACTATTGCTCATAATCGTATGATTATGAGCAATAGTTTGTGCTCGAAACGTCATCAGTAAATATTACTGTATAACACTGCGAGACTCTATCAAAATAAAAATTTACCCATAATGGAATTACACTCTACCACAGTGCCCAGGTTTTATTCTTATATCAATGAGCCTAAAGGATAATTTCGTCAATTTCCAACATCATTGTGTTGCGTGCTCTTCAGTGAACCGAGGACTGTACATCTTGGTTTTGGCTAGCTCTGTTACGTCCACTGGAAGATGATGTATGTTCAAAGAGTTATCATAGCTACAATAATATATGACAGAAATGCAGACGGCCTATAATTTGAGTCAGGCTATTGATTCAACCAGCTTGAACAGTTAAATATAAGTGAGCTAATGGTTCAGTCTCTGGTGCCAATTTCGACTCCCAAGAACTTTATAACCCGATATTCTCTAGGAAATAAACAGAAATAAAACTCACAGTTTCCAAAACCCAGCAAATACAAACTGGGGTCTACGAATTAACCCAGGTTTCGAGAAGCAGGGTGGAAGGTTTGAACATGGCATCCTGTGGTTCTGAGCGGCCGAGCTAGTTCCATCGAGTGAACTCGATTGCTCCTATCTTACTGCGATTTTTTTGTTACGGACGGAGTTATTTAGACCACTATCTGTATTGTGGTGTTCCATTAAACCTTTCTTTTGTGGACCTGACTTCTGACTATCTGTACTGTCTACTAAAAACATGGTGAGCTGTTGAGTTCTGATCAAACCAAGGTGAATTCCACTGGTGACCAATGCCCATCTAAAAATAAATCACTCGACCCAGGAGACAAGAAATGTTTTTCAGGGCAGCAACCATCAAGCTCGTCCGTCCCGCAGATAGCTATACTTCAGATGGACACGATACAAATCATTGCAGCGATAAAAGCGGATTTGCAAGAACTAGCCTCCTTACCCTTTACAGTGACACATCGGAGATGAACGGTGTAAATATTGTGCACTAGTTCAAAGATGGATTGCTGTTCGATGCTAGGAGAAGCATAGTCATAGGGCGAAAGAAGGAATCAACAGCATATGCTCTAAGAATTGCTAAAGAGAAACGGTTGTCATTTAAGTTAAGAAAGAACAATTCAGAGAGTAATTGGACCCTTTACAAACCAACAACAGCCAGCCAACAAATAGGAAAAGTCCTTATGCTAAGAGAATGGAGAACTGACAATATCCTAGATCTGCCAGCATATCCAGATAGGCTCCAAAAACAACGACAGAGAGTGGTGCACATGAATCCAGGAAAAACTGGTGTCTCTGCTTGTTGTAACTAATGCTAAGCAGACATACCAAGGTTCATGTTTAGTTAACCATTTAACAACAATTTAAGTGAAATTCCACTAACTGGTCTGTTAGGTACCGGTGTAACTCGTCCTCTGCCATCAAGCAGTGTTTGTAGTAGCGAATTAGCGACACTCACAAA